CAATGACAGTGCCCAGGGCTCTGATGTGTCTCTCACAGCTTGTAAAGGTGAGACCCTGGAAGGCCTGAAGTGGGAGAGAGAGTGGGGCAGAGGGACACGACTGCGGTATGGGGATTGTCTAGATTTGGGCATTTTGAGCATGTGATGAGCTGTTCACAGTGTCACCACTTACAGTGATTTATATACATTTATTATCATTTTGTTCTACAGTGTGACATAGCTGCCTTCTGTGGGACTGAGTGATTCCAGATGAGTTCAAGTCCCGTGCAACACAACCACTGTGACTTCAAGAGCTCCTGCCTGGATTCTCTGTCTGCAACTGGCATCAGAATGTGTCTGTGTGTCTGTGTTCCTGTTAGTATAATGTGAGGAAATGGGGAGACTGGCCCATCCCCGAGCATCAAGGCCCCTTCCCCACACTGACCTGTGTTCTCTTCTCTCATCAACTTTCCTGTTCCAGCAGAGGCGGGGCTGGGATGTCTCCATCCCTGTCTTAAATTTATGTTGCACTGAGCCACAGCTTTTTACTTCCCTATTGAAAAGAAGAATCTGGAAATGAATTTGTTTGCAAACTTTTGCCATAGGGTGTGGTCGATGGGTTAATTAAAGGACAAGAAGATTCTTAAAATTTGAGAGTGGAAATAAAACCTGAAAAGCTTCCACAATCCGCGTTTGCTGTGCTGAGTCTGGTGCAGGTGGGGACAGGGGAAGGCTGTGAGGAGCCGAGCGTGGATGGGGCCTGTGCCCGGTTAGTGCTCGTTCCATTGCGGGCTTTCATGTGGTCACTCTTCAGCTGGGTCATCTTCACTGCTCCTTTGTCCTTGTCCCTTCATTAAAACCTTGTCGCATCAGGACCTGTGATCAGAGGGACTCATACATTTTCAGCTTTGTCCTGTCTCCAACACTGTGGACAGTGAGGGCACATGGGTCCTGCCCTCAGCCCCCACTTTTTATGTGCTTATATTTTGTGTCTTTTTTCCTGTAGAGGATTATGCCTGTTCTTGTTCTTGTGTACAGGTTCTGGTCTCTTTCTTCTCTCGGTGTCCCCATCCCTGAGAGCAGCAGGAGTCAATTTTTCTGTCATTGTTCCCACAATGGTCAGGGGAGTCCTTGCACACAAGAATCTCTCTGTTATCAGATGAATTTTCAGACTCTCTAGCTCTTTC